AGGGTTGTGTTTTACATTGTCTGGATTGGGCCTACCTCATGGTTCAGAGATTACTTGGAATCAGAGTCTCACTGAGCTTGTGAACCTCCCAAGAGCCTCTCTGAAAGCCCAGTAGAGGTGTGTTGACCACAATGTAGATTTAAGCTAGTATGATAATAAGCTATAAGGTTGTTCCAGGTCACCTTCAAGATTCTATTGTACCTATTTGGATTTGGCTCATGGACTAGAGCATCCTCTATATCCTTTTGCAGTTGGCACACTAGGTTCTGATTGGTAGATTGGTAGGGTGGTCCCTCCTCCTCAGGTTGAGCAATTAGGATTAAGGTGACCCTATTAATTGGGATGGGAGCCCCACCCTTGTCTTCTTTCCCTAGATAAGCCAGATTCCTAGCTATCTAACTAACATAACCATTAAAAATAACCCTGTATTCTTATTAAGGAATGCAGATTTCTTTTTCTTTTCTTTTTTTTTTTTTTTTTCCCAGTAACATTCTGTTACCCTGACTGGATTGCTGTAGCATTGTTGTAGCTCACTGCAACCTCAAACTCCTGGGTTCAAGGGATTGATACAGGATTTTCCCACTCAGGGCTGGACAGGGACACTCACCTTCTCTAGGACCAGGTGAGCTCAGAAATCAGACTCCCATCTCTAGGCACAAACAGGCTGCCTCCACACCCAGCCTAAAATTCTAATAATTTTAAAATGTTATATTTTCTAAACATTAAATATAGCATAATTATGTTTAGCTTAGCATTTTTTAAAAAGGAACAATTAACTCCTATTTTGGGAAAGAACTTAATCTGATTTTCTTTTTAAGGCATCTGATAATACTGTTTAAAAAAACTGGCATCCTGTAACTGTTTTCAAAGTTTTCTGCTAACAGAGCCAGTACATGAATAGCAACTACTTCATTTTTAATATACAAGTAAGGAATCTTGGAATTGAAAAAAATGAAACTAATTTAAAATAACTCTTTGCTCTAAATGAAAAATTATTCTTTCTTTTTATTGTTGGGGATTCATTGAGGGTGCAAGAAACCAGGTTATACTGATTGCATTTGTTAGGTAAAGTCCCTCTTACAATTGTGTCTTGCCCCCGAAAGGTGTGGCACACACCAGGACCCCACCCTCTCCCTCCTTCCCTCTCTCTGCTTTCTTTTCCCTTCCTCTCCCTCCTTCTTTCTCTCTCTGCTCTCTCCTTTCCCCACCCCCTGCCCCCGTGTCATTAATTGTCCTCATATCAAAATTATACATAGGATTCATGCTTCTCCATTCTTGTGATGCTTTACTAAGAATCATGTGTTCCACTTCCAACCAGATTAATACAAAGGATGTAAAGTCTCCATTTTTTTAACGGCTGAATAGTTATTCCATGGTGTACATATACCACAGCTTGTTAATCCATTCCTGGGTTGGTGGGCATTTAGGATGTTGCCACATTTTGGCAATTGTAAATTGAGCTGCAATAAACAGTCTAGTGCAAGTGTCCTTATGATAAAAGGATTTTTGTCTTTCTGGGTAGATGCCCAGTAATGGGATTGCAGGAGAAAAATTATTCTTTATAGAATGGTGTCTACATATAACTTCTGCAACAGCACATCTTAAATTATCTTGTGAAGCACTCTTCTTAAAATAACTATTAATTTTGAAGTAGATGACATCACTTCTTTAGAAAGTTTGTCTTCCAGTGTTAACCTCTTTGGTCCCCTTGGTAAATGGTAATGTAAACAAACATTTTGTGCAGGTTACTATTTCATCACAAATTTTCTTAAAAAACAAAAACTATTTGACTTTTTAAATTAAACATGCACTTTCATTTTACTGAGATGCTTATATTTCCACAGTAGTTCATCCCAGAAAACTTACAACAAATTTCCTTACTAGGTCCCTTAGACTGTGGATGGATTTGACCATGTTTTTATAAGGTGGTAGCTTGTAAAAGTCCCAGGTCTCAGGTTCTACTTTATGCAGAGGTGTTGTTCTAACCCTCTATTGTACCAGACCCTTGAGTTGGCCAAGAAATAGACTTCTCTAACTCCTGGCATGAATTGAATTCCTGATCCTCAAGGAAGTCAATGGTTTCAAAACATGGTCATCAGACTGTTTTTCACTTGTTTTTAGCCCTGGTGGAGATTACTCACTTTTTTTAAATCTCAGCTTAGAAAAAAGTTTTTTTCTGTGAGATGAGAGTGATGATGACGATAATAACGTAAATTTCATGGAGTTGATGTATGTAAAGCAACAGGAATAGTGCCTAACAAATTATTACCATGACAAAAGTGTTAGATAATATTTATTCTTTCATCCAGTATTTCCATGTATTTATTGCAGAAAGGTTTTTCAGAATCCAATATATGACTGAATGTGGAAGTATGTTCATAACACTTTATAGGTGATTTTATATTAAATATTAAATATATTAAATAAATTTGTTTGGGTAAGCTATTTCCCACTACACTGTATCTGTGCCTCCTTAAAGCCACACAAAGAACATTTATCTATCTTAGAAAAATGGAGTATATACTTACAGTTGACTCTTCAACAAATGGTAAGGGTGCTGACTCCCCACGTAATCAAAAATCCATATGTAACTTTTGATTACCCCAGAACTTTACTAATATCCTACTGTTGACTGGAAGCCTTACTGACAACAAAAACAGATGATCACATATTTTGTATTTCATATGCATCATAGCCTGTATTCTTGCAATAAAGTAGGCTAGAGAAAAAGAAAATGTTATTAAGAAAATTATAAGAAAGGGAAAACATTTACTATTCATTAGGTGGAGGTGGATCATCATAAAGTCTTCATCCGTGTCATCTTCATGTTGAATAGGTTGAGGAAGAGGAGGAAAAGGAGGGATTGATCTTGCTGTTTCCAGGTGGCAGAGGCAGGAGAGATGAAAGAGATGGAAGATGCAGGAGAGGCAGGCATACTTGGTGTAACTTTTATTGAAAAAAACTGCATACATAACAGAGCTTTCATGTTTATCTACACAGCATTCTATTGAATAGACGATAATTTAACTAGTTTCCTAAGAATAATTATGCTCTTTGTATTTTTTGCATAGAGAACAATGTTGGTGTGATTATGTGTGATTTCACATATATAAAAGAAGTCTTGTAAGTGGAGTAGCTGGGCCCAAGGACATGCACATTTAAAAATTTGTTAGTTATAATAACTAAAACTTGTCATATGTGCCAGAAACTTGCTCTTGTTTTGCTAAAATTGCTTTCAAGAGAAGTTGGACTATACTCCACAGCAGTGAATGTTTTTTAGTTCCTATTTCCTTATCTCAGCAACATAACAATTCTCAAATTTAGTTTTTGTTAATTCTGAAATATATAAAAATTAGTTTTCCTATTTTGAGTTATTTTTATGTTTAAGAGTCATCTGTGTTATTTCCTGTAGTCTTCTCTGGTTGGTCTTTTTATGAACAGTTAAAGAAAGTGACCCTTTGTGGCATGTATTTCTTTTTCTTTCCAATTTCTTTTTTCATGCAGAAATTTCTTATTTTTATGTAGGCAAACTTACCAATTCTTTCACTTATGTATATATTTTTTGGGAGGTCTTTCCCATTCAAAGAGTATAAATCTCAAAAATCATGAAAAAAAGAAAAAAATCTGCACATATGTGGATCCACATGGCTTAAACCTGTGTTGTTCAAGGGTGAACTATACATATGATTCAGAAGTTAAAATATATAAAAAATTATAAAATATAATGTATAAAATCAGCAAAGGAATGTGGGTCACCAGTCTTTCTTTACTACACAAAATAGCACAAAATAGTTTTATTTTAAATTTTTTGAAAAATTTCATTTTTATTAATTAAAAAAGTCATAGAGACATAAAAATACATTGAAGTATTTAGATACATTAAATATATTTTTGTGACTTCATATGCTTTATATAAAAGTATTCAAAGCAGTATTATACTTGCTAATAATTACAAATATTTTGAATTTGACTTTTCATCAGAATTTCTGAGATATTTTCCAACAAAACATATTGAACTTCCAGAAAAATAAAGGATGACAATAGGCCTCTAAATAAGAACAATTTTGGGGTGAGAAATAGTAGTTGTCTAGGAATGTACAACCAAACTTCAGGGTGCATTTAAATTACAAAGTCTTGAATATTTAAACAATTCTTAAAATTCCCTTTCAAAAAGCATACTGAACATATTTAAATATGTATCTTAAGGATCTAAAACAAATATTTTTATACATGGTTGCCTCCCCCTCAAAACCTAGTGAAATAGATAGTGGATATGTAGTAACAAAGTGACAAGGTGCTTTGGACGCTAACCATATGTGAGAGAGGTTTGCTATGCCATACTCCCTAAAAAAAAAGCAGTTAGGTTGGAAACATGTACTACAGTGTAAATAATGTGCACTTTTTCTTTCTTTCTTATTTTTTTTTTGAGACAAGGTGTAAAGCTGTCACCCTGTGTAGAGCGCCATAGTGTCACAGCTCACAACAACCTCAAATTCTTAGGCTTAAGTGATTCTTTTGCCTCAGCCTCCCAGGTAGATAGATAATCTGCACTTTTGTGGAGGCTGTTACGTAGGAAATAATTGTCATATAATGTTTAACAATCTTTTTCTGGCACCAAAATATCAATCATGCTTGTTACAGAATAGTTGGGAAATATAGAAAAGTATGAAAAAGAAAATAAAAACACCTGTAATCTTACCTACTGGCAACATTCTGGTGTATTTATTTCCTTTCTTTTAAACATATAAAAATTCAAATATATACATATAGAAATGTAGGTATATTGTTTACAGAACTAGATATCTTGCTTTCTTCATTGAATAAAATGATCTTGAGTTGCTCTCTTCCCTTGGATACTCTTCAATTGATAGATGATTGTCAAGTGGCAAAAAAAATCTTTCATTGAATGTATATACCATGATGTAAAATAATTTTTAAAATGGCATTTATAATTTTAGAGCTTTTAAAGTTACATTTTGTATATTTATTTGTATTTTTACAGCTTTTAGTTTTATTTTGTGTATTTTCTATATTGATACTTGTTTTGCATAAAATTATGAAAGCTATAAACTTAGAAATATATATCACATTTTTGACAACTGATGCTTCTCTGCATACAATTCCACCAGTACATGGTCTCTTTATGTTTTCATAACCCCTCAAAGGCTAGGCAGGGCCACCAAGGTAAACACTGCACAAGAATACTACACCCCAGCATTTAAAGCCCATTCCTGAGGGTTCATTCAAAAGCAATGCACTCCATATTAAGTCACACATGGATAACTGCAGGTCTGCTTGTGAAGTTCACTTGCTGAACTCCTACAAGCTGTAAAACAGAGTTTATGGGTTTGTGATCCAACCTATTCCTGTCACGGTGTATAAAATGGATGTTGTTACCTAGAAGAATAAGAATAAAAAGCTGAGGCATGTAAAGTGTTATTCATTAGATTTATTGCTTACTAGAATCAAAGAAGCTTTTCACCTTTCAATTAGTCCAAATGGAAAAATTAATTTCCTGAGGTATATTATATTCCCTGTATAATGCCATAATAGTTTTTAATTAAATAAACCATGACAAGCATTATGATTAAATAAGAGTGATTACTTAATGTTTATGAAATCTAAGGAGAAAGATTCTTAAATTATAACCTTCTGTTAAGTTTTATTTAATATAAGTAAATAAAATGTCCTGTCAGAAAGGCAGAATATAGAACTGATATAGACATTAAGTGGGACAATCACATCTGTTTCATGAACATAATAATGGAATAAATCACTTGCTTCAAAGAATGCATTTCCAAATACTACTTAACAGGCTGTCTGTATTATATCCATAGTCCAAAAGAGGCTCAAAAATAAGGCATTAAGACAATCACTTACAATACATGTTAGATGTCCACAATCTTTATATCTGCCCAAATAAAATAAGTCCTAATTTATCTGGTTTCTATTTACTTTGATCCTTGGACTCAAGATCAGGATTTTAATTTAAAACATTAGACCAAGTAAGTACTGTAAAAAACATGTTTTCTGCATTGTATTCATATGCCATCTATAGTACTTACTAGGTTTAATATCGTAGATTAGCTAGTATCAAATAAGGCAAAATGAAATACTGGGTTAACCATGATACAAATTTGTGTAATAAGTACACCTAGCTTTTTTCCTTAGATGAGCTGCATTTTTTTCCAACAGGTAGTATCAAAAATGTCCTCCCTAATAAGTACAGCAGGCCCTCAGAATCCATAGGTTCCACATTAGCAGATTCAACCAACGTACCAAAAACATGGAGGAATAAAAAGGATGGGTATGTTTGTCCTAAATTGTTACAGACATTTTTTGTCATTATTTCCTAAACATATAGTATAAGAACTATTTACTGAGTGAGGTATTTATACTGAGAACATTTATACTGAGAGAGGTATTCTAAGTAATCTAGAGATGATTTAAAGTGTTTGGGAAGATGTGCACAGGTTACATGCAAATACACCAGTTTATATAAGGGATTTGAGCCTGGTGTGCCAGAACCAATTCCCCATGGATACTGAGGGATGACTATATATTCCCAACATGGCATAGAAATGATACCCTCCATGTGCTCTTTATTCTTATGTAACTGAGGAGTGGCCAATGATTCAGAAACATGGAGATGAGGAACACAAGCAATAACCCCTTCCAGGTCTGAGGATAGAAAAATGTCTTTCAAAACTATGGCTCACTGTCATTCTGGGTTAATTTCTCCTAAAACAGGGCTTCTTTTTAAGCTAATCTAACTGGTGTAAATTCACAAGAGGGAGGGAAAGGGAGCTCTTAGCTTTAGTGTTCCAGCTACAAAAAGCCAAAAAGCTGACATTAGGCCAAAATCTTCTTTCTAAAGATTTCCTTTTAAAAATCTGGAATTTGTGAAAATAAATATTAATTTTTTAACTCTTAGAAGCTATGCTCAAGAATGTGGGTCATTTTAAAGAGGAAGAACCAAGAAAAATGAGCTTACAACAGAGGGATTTAGGTTTTTTGGCACTGTCCTATACAGCTGTCTGTCTCCTCCTGCAATACTTAAACATAGTAGGGATCTAATATTCAACATTTGGCACAGTGGAGCCAAAGGAATGTCAGGTGGTCCAAGCTGATCAATAGTGCTGTTAACAGTACATGCCCTCAGGCTCTGTGCCTGTAGCTCAGCAGCTAGGGCACCAGCTCCATATACCATAGCTGGCGGGTTTGAACCTGGCCCAGGCCTGCCAAACAACAATGACAACTACAATAACAAATAGCTGGGTGTTGTGGCAGGTGCCTATAATCCCAGCTACCTGGGAGGATGAGGCAAGAGAATCACTTAAGCTCAAAAGTTTGAGGTTGCTGTGAGCTGTGAGGCCATAGCACTCTACCAAGGTCGACATAATGAGACTGTCTCAAAAAAACAAAACAAGAAAGTACATGCCCTCAATCTAATACTCACTGAAAGAGCTATCCCTGGCACTTGACCTACCTTCTGATGCTGAGCAAATCTCCTAGTTTTGTTAGATATAAATAACTAGGTAATCTTATTAACAAAAGGAAACTGCGTGATGATTTTCCCCTACTCAGAAATGTTCACTTTCACGGAACTTATTGAAGAGTGTTCCAAGTCATCAATCTACAGTTGACTCCCTACCCCAAATGCCTGAAATCACTCAGGCACAAAATGACAGGTACATTTAGCAAATAAACTGACATGAAAATACCCAGAAGCCTTTAAAAATAACACATGCATGCCGCAAAAGCACAACGTCCTGACTGCTATGCTGAGTTGTACATAGCATCTATTTTATGAACAAAGTGGTAGCCTCTGGGCTTATAAAAAGCATAAGAAGCGCACTGCTGTCCCTGGACTTTGATGCTTACCTGGACCTAAAATGAGGGTTCCGCCTTGCTGAGCTGGATCTCCTTGAAAATCAAAGAGAGGGCCAGTCACTGCCCTCCATAGGCTCCGAAGGCTTCCTGAGAGTAGATTTGACTTTATGTGGGGGCTCTGTCCTGAAATATTAAAAATTGTCTTTACTTTTTATTTTTTTAATTTTATTTTTTTCAGACAAGGTCTCACTCTGTTGCCCATGCTAGAGCACAGTGATATTGTCATCACAGTTCACTGCATCCTTGAATTTCTGGGCAGATCCTCCTGCCTCAGCCCCCCAAGTAGCTATGTCTACATGTATGTGCTACCACACCTGGATAATTTTTTTGTTTTTTTGTAGAGATTGGTTCTCACTGTTGCCCATGCTAGTCTCGAACTCCTGGACTCAAACTATACTCCCACTTAGGCCCCCACAAGTGCTAACATTACGGGCATGAGCCACAGTGCCCAGAGGAAAATTGTCTTCAGATGTTATCTTTTTATATTTGATTAGATAATAAGAAGATAGTGTATTCCTGGGAAACACTATCTTTCTTGTGTCTCACTTACTTTCTACTTGTCTTTTTCTCCCCCTTCCTTTAAAGAATGATTTCTCAATCTTTCTCTATTGAGGTTTTTGCCCAGGATCACTTTTGTACTGGGTAATCTAGGGTGTTTACCAAATTATGACGACCAAAAATGTCTCCAAGCACTGCCAAACTTCCCCCTGGGGGAAAACGGTAAATATCCCAATTGAGAACTACTTCTTTAAAGGAAGTAATGATAGATCATTTTCTGCCACAGGTGCTTTCCATTTTAATTCCCTACTTAGACTCTCTAGTCTCTTACCTACCAATAGCTAGCTATATTATTTTTCAAGAGACATGTGGCACAGACTGTTATATGTTGGTCAAAACCTGTTTCTTCTTTCTGGGCCCACAGCTAGCCCTATATTTCCCAATCTTCCCTGCAGTGAGGTAAGGCATGTGACTGTGTTCTAGATGATGAGTGAAATGATGCAAGCTGCTTGGGGGCCATGCTCCTAAGACCCTTGCACAAGTAATTCTCCAGGTTCCTTCTACATTCTTAAAAGGTTTAGGTGGAGAATGGTAGAGCAACAAGGGGCCTGGGTCCCAGAATTGCTGTCTAGAAAAATGGCACCCAGATACCATTCTTGAAATTTAAAATAAAAAGAAATAGCCTTCTACCATGTCATACTTCTGAGATTTTGGGGTTTAGCTGTAACAGCAGCTATCACAGGTACTTTTCTATATTTCCTTGGCTGTCAGTTTTCTATTTCTGCTCTCACAGTAACTGATCCTTCATTTCCACTCCCTTGAAGCAAAAAAAAAAAACTGAGTCTCTACTCTTCTAATAACTTAATTTTCCCTTGTAGTTGCCTTTTTTTTTTGAGACAGAGTCTTGCTTTTTCACACTTTTTCAAGTGCTGTGCAGTCTATAGCTCACAGCAACCTCAAACTCTTGGGCTCAAGCAATTCTCTTGCCTCAGCCTCCCAGAGTAGCTGGGACTATAGGTGCCCACCGCAATGCCTGACTATTTTTAGAGCTGAAGTCTTGCCCTGGCTCAGGCTGGTCTCAAACCTGTGAGCTCAGGCAATTCACCCACCTAGGCCTCCCAGAGTGCTAGGATTATAGGCATAAGCCACCGCACCTGGCCCTATCCCTGCCATTTATGTCTTTAGTTTTTTATTTTGATGACCATGCAATCTTTGATTTGCCTGATTTCCTAATATTTCCAAATACTTACTACTTCCCTTAATCGCTCCTGCTCTTTTGTTTCTCTCACATTTACACTAGAACACACTCACACCACCAGGAAACAAATACAGGCTCAGTACCTTAGAGACATGAGTAAAGGATTAAATTTTACTTTCTTATAACTTTCTTCTATCTCTAAAATAAATGTTCAGAAATCCAAACTATCTCCAGAAATTCAAGTTGACAGAATTTACAACCTAAACATAAGTAAATTTTACTGTCAAGCACAATCTAATTTTGCCAGCTTGAATTTAGTTCATATGTGTAAAACTTGTGCTGTTCTTCCATCTTCTACAAACCAACTGTACCTAATAGTTTTATTTCTTATTCTTTATCTTTATAAGTGGGTATGATAATTTAAAATTATAATGTATAATGTATTTTCAGTACTTTAGTTTTATATTCTCAGACTGATTCTGAGATTTATGCTTTATGCTTTTTCACAGAGGAACCTTAAAAAATTATTGTATGAAAACAGTACTTTGTTTGGCAATATAGTGCTTTAACACAGGTCAAAGCAGGTAAAAAGATATGAATATATTATATTATAATTACAAGCATATACTTGGTTTAGAAGTCATCTCTTCTCTTTGCAATTTTCTATCTTTACTGTGACAATGAATGGTGAGGTGTTATTAAACTGAAATTCACAATTTATATCTGAAGTGCTGATAGACCACTGAGACTGTTACAGCACATGAAAATAGTGTACAAGAAGTAAGGTGAATGCTGCAATCACCTATACTAAAGAGAGAAAGAGGAAAAAAAGAGCAAACTGTTAATGCCAGCTGATTGTTATTTCAGGTTCTTTTTTTTTTTTTTTTGAAACAGAGTGTCACTTTGTCACCCTCTGTAGAGTACTGTGGCACAGCAACCTCCAACTCTTGGGCTCAGGCAGTTCTCTTGCCTCAGCCTCCAGAGTAGCTGGGACTACAGGTACCCACCACAATGCCCAGCTGTTTTCAGAGACAGGGTCTCACTCTGGCTCAGTCTGGTTTTGAACCTGTAAGCTCAGGGCAATTCACCTGCCTCGGCCTCCCAGAGGGGTAGGATTACAAGCATGAGCCACTGTCCCCAACCCAAGTTCAGATTGTTTTCTTTAAAAACATCAGTAAAGGGATCATGGAAGCCTCTTTTATAAATAGCTCCCTGATCCATCCCCTTCTCTCCATCTCCACCTAAGAAGATGTTTCTTTTCATCCTATAACTGTACTATCAGCCTTATGAAAACATCACTGGCTCTGGACTGGCCTATCCCTGCTCCACACTGGTTAGATGACTATCTCACTTCTCTGCTTCAAATACTTATATGACTTGTGTGACTCCCTCCAGAATAAATCTCAATTCCCTGGCATGTCACCCCAGATTCAACATGAACTGGTCACAACCTATCTCTGGCTCACATCAATTCCCCAACTGGTTCTTAGACTCCAACCAGAGGCAAGGACCTACACTTTTCCAGAGGAGGTACATTTTTTCATGGCTTTGTGCTTTTGCACATGCTACTTTCTGTCTGAAGCACCTCCCCCCACCTTCACTTCACCCAGCTAACTCCTTTAAGAGTGAGCTGAGACTTCACCTCCTATGAGAAACCTTCCCAGATCCTTCCCTCAGCTTACATTTCTAACATAGGAATTCCCAGCAGGTGCTCTCCTCTATCATAACCTGTCATAGATGTTCTTGTCTGTCTGTCTGTCTCCCAGAGTAGATGACAAACTCTGCATGGTGGAACTGTGTATTTATCACTGCCTTTCTGGGAGCATCCAACACAGTGAATGTCACAGACAAAAACTTGATAGTATTTGTTGAGAATGACTGACTTGAGTTTGAGTTGAGTTCTCTTAGCTGCCATATCAGAAACACACATACACAGTTCAACTGAAGTTTTATAAACTGGATTAATTACAAGGAATTGTGGTAAGGGTAGGGAATATAGATAACAAACATGAATAAACACTAAACTCACCAACTAACTGTACTACGTGGCCACCTTAAGTGCAACAACAGAGTATATAATTAAGTACAAGGTGCTATTAAAGTGAATGACAGGGCTCAGCACCCATAGCACAGTGGTTACAGTGCCAGCCACATACACAGAGGCTGGCTGGTTCGAACTTGGCCAATACCAGCTAAACAACAATGACAACTGCAACAAAAAAATGGCTGGGCACTGTGGCAAGCGCCTGTGGTCCCAGCTGCTTGGAAGGGTAAGACAAGAGAATTGCTTAAGCCCAAGGGTCTCAAGTTGCTGTGAGCTGTGACACTGTGGCATTCTACCAAGGGTGACATAGTGAGACTCTGTCTCAAAAAAAAATAAAATAAAGTGAATGACAGGAGAAATTACTCCTGCTTAAAGAGCAACTGAGAGCCCCTTGAGTTAGTTGATTTCAAATGATAAGCGGGACTTCCTCAGCTGAGGAAGATGGAATATTTAAAGCCATGGCAGTGAGGTATAAAAATATGTAAACTTAATATTGTTTTCTTCTAATTATATAAGTAAAATATACTCACGAAAAATACAAAAGTGAATTTCATGACTCCCATACCCTGCAGTATTTTTAAGTACCTTTTTCATTACACATACACACACACATACAATAGGTCTTTTTGAGAATCATTGTTGTGAAAAAAAAAATTTTATTTGCTGAAACCAAACTGAGAACATTGTTCTGCAGCTTGCTTTATTCATTAAATAGTACTTCGCCAGCAGCCTTTCATGTCTTTACACTTAGAAAATGGATCTTCTGCAGTCTAGTGTATCTGGACCACTTAGCAGAATCAGCCTGATTTATGAATTCTCCATTTCCCTATGCATGTATATGTAAATGTGAAAATACACCAGCTTTTTCTATCCAGACATGTTATATCTTACCTGCGGAAGCAAGCTCTTCACCTCTTTTCATTCCCAATTTTTTATAAATTTCTCTCTCGGGATCAACATAGATTTCATGGGAATAACCAGTCAGTTTGCAAAAAGGCTGAAAAGAGAGATTAGTTAGAATTTTCATAAGAACAAATGAGAGAAAAGTCATGATCATCTAACTTCACTCAGTTTAGCTTACATTTAGTGGCTTAAATAATGTAATTTTTACATATGAAATATTTTCCCAATTTACTATATTTACTAGATGTTTCAATTTCCCAATTTACTAGATGTTTACCTCAATGTGATGGTAGGATGACTGTCCAATCACTATAAGGGTGACATCTGCTTCCTTAAATGAAAAAAAGGACATGTATATATTAGAAATTATACATTTTTTAAACAACTTTCCTATTCTAGCTCTTCTGTTTCAATCTAATGTCACCTATAGGCTTCTAGAAGAATGTAATAAATAGCAAAATTGTGTGAGTCAAAGCAAAAAAAAAAAATGCATGGTGAAATGTTTGATTAGTTCAGATGATTCTTAAGTAAGGTTCTTCAGATAATTTTTAAGACTTAAACATAAGACCTGAAACATGAAACTACTAGAATAAAACACAGGGAAACCTATACAACATTGTATGGGCAATGATTTCTTGGATAGGACAACAAAAGCAAAAATATACAAATGGGACATCAAACCAAAAAGCTTCTGCACAGCAAAGGAAATAATCAAGAGTGAAGAGACAGCCCATGGATTGGGAGAAAATATTTCCAAACTATATATCTGGTAAGGGTTAAATGTCTAAAATATATAAGGAACTCAGGCAACTTAATAGTAAGAAAATAACCTGACTAAAGAATGAGCAAAGAACATCAATAGTCATTTTTCAAAAGACATACAAATGGCCAAAAGATATATGAGAAAATGTTCAACATCACTAATCATCAGCAAAATGCAAATTAAAACCACAATAAGATACCCCTCACACTTGTTAAGATGAACAAAAGGTGAACAATAAGAAGCACTGGTAATAATGTGGAAAAAAGGGAACCATTATACACTGCTCGTGGGACTATAAATTAGTGCAGCCATTATTGAGACTAATGTGGAGATTCCTCAAAAAATTAAAATAGAAGGCCCAGTGCAATGGCTCAGGCCTGTAATCCAAGCACGCTGGAACACTGAGGCAAGGGGATTGCTTGAGCTCAGGAGTTATAGACCAGCCTGAGCAACAGCAAGACCCTGTCTCTACCAAAAATGAAAAACTGAGGCAAAAGGGATCACATAAGCCCAAGAGTTTTGAGGTTGCTTTGAGGTATGATGCCATAGCATGCTACTGCGGACAACTCAGTGAGACTCTGTCTCAAAAAAACCCAAAAATTAAAAATAGAACTAACATATGATCCAGCAATCCCACTATTGGATATTTAATGCAAAGAAAATGAAATCAATATGACAATGAGATATCTGTACTCCCATGTTTCCGATAGCATTATTCACAATAGCCAAGATCTAGAAGCCAAGTGCCCATCAATGGGTGAATGGATAAAGAAAATGTGGTGCAATAAACATTCTGGTACATATGTCTTTGTTACAATGTGATTTTTGGTCTTTTGGATATATACCTAGTAGAGGAATTGTAGGATCTAATGGCAGGTCTATTCATAATTGCTAAGTCATGGAAGAAACCCAAGTGCCCATCAACCCATGAATGGATCAATAAATTGTGGTATATGTACACCATGGAATATTATGCTGCCTTAAAGAAAGATGGAGACTTTACCTTTTACATGTTTACATGGATGGAGCTAGAACATATTCTTCTTAGCAAAGTATCTCAAGAATGGAAGAAAAGGCTCGGCGCCTATAGCTCAACTGGCTAAGGCG